AAACAAAAAAGTGCTCATACTGATTTTTTTGGGTTTTTTTTTTTCAGTCCTAGAGTTTGAACTCAGGGCCTCCCACTGGCTAGGCAGGTGCTGCACCATGAGCCACTCCACCAGCCTTTGGGATTTTGAAGGCCTGAAAATCCTGGTAGAACAGAGACAGATGGCAAGTCTCAGTAATAAGCAAGGCAGCCCCTGGGCCTGGCTGAGTGAGAGAGTAATCAGTTTAAAGAACTTGCGCTGCATAATGGTAATGCTATTATCAGCCTTACATTTTCTGGTTTTAGAAATTGTGTTTTGGTAAGCAAGAGTTATTTGACTCACTGACATTAGACTTTTGCCTATGATTCTAGACTTGCCTTGGTATAAGCAGGAAAAGGACGTCTTCTTGACGACTGGCCCAAGCTCTTTTACTAGCTCCTTTATCTGGGGAGAGGGCGCTTGCGTATATGCTAATGCTCTGCGTGAGCAGCCTTTAAGCTTTCTGAATCACAAGTTACAATCACACTTGTTCTTAATTTGAAAATACTTCTCCTGGGTTGTTTTCTGAATTTAATAAAGAATAGTTTAGGTATAACAGGGTCATTGTTAGGGGCAGTATTGGAGCTGGGCTTAATGCTACATACCTATAATCTCAGCTGCTTGGAAGGTGGAGTCAGGAGGAGCTGGGCAAAGTTAGAGAGCCTTTGTCTCAAACAAAATACAAATAAAAGGGCTGGAGGGGGGGCATAGATTTCAAGGCCCTGGGGTCAGTCCCAAGTATTGCCAAACATGGGGAGTGTCTGGCAGAATTGGTATTAAAAGACAGAAAAGTAAAATGGAAAGTCCTTTTATGGTGAACCTCTCTCTACCCCACTCAGCAAACTTCAGCAGTGCCTTCTGTTTTTCAAATCATTAGTCTTGGCTCCTATTTCTCTCTGCCTCCATGGCGAGCCCATCTGCCTTCAAGGCCTCAGCCAGTCTCCTGCTGATTTTCTTCTCCTTCCACATCTGTCTTCTGATGTCCACAGAAGTTATCCGTTGGCTGTAGAAAGACAGTAAAAGATAAAGACCTCCTGGGATCATCTCTCTCCAATATGGAGACTGGCCAGAAGAAGCGCTTGGCAAGTGTGCAGATCCTCAGCACCAACTTGACCCAGGGATTCACCCTGCATTCCCATTGCAGTTATTTTTGAGACATTTGCAAAATTCAGCAGACTTAAAAGTTCTGCTTCACTGCCTGTGGATCTGGAGTCCCTGCAGTTTCCCAAGTGCACAGAGCTGCTGGGGTTTCTTCAGTTTCTCCCTCTGTTGTCTGTGCCTGGTCTCATTGCCAGGGTGGGAAGGTACTCTGGTCACTGCCCTCTTGAAGGTGCAGCAGGTTATTCTTACAGGGAGTGCAGAACCTACATCAGCTCTCTACTTGGCCTTAGTGACATAAACTCTTTTCTTCCTCTATAAAGTCTGAGATATCATATTTCTTTGGAGCTTCCCAAGGAAAAGTTGGCTTAGTTAAGAGGTTTTTTGCGGGTTCCCCATGATCATATGGATTGTCCTGCTGGCTCTACTCCTAAGGTGTAGATAGGTGAAGCTTTCTCTAAAATGCTTTTGTTTGTTTGTGTGTTTGTTTGTTTTTTGAGACAAGTTCTCACTGTGTGGCCCAGGCTGGCCTCAAATTCATAATCCTCCTGCCTCAGTCTCCCAAGTGCTGGGATTACAGCTTTGTACTGCAGTGTCTGGTTTAATAATTCTTACTGGCCGAATGCTGTTCCAAAGCAAGTGTGCCATGGACTGTCCTCTTTACTTGTTGGCTTAAGGTATCCCAGGACCTGCCCCAGCTCTCACTGTGACGGTCTCTGCTGGGGAAGAGGAAGCTCTGCATACCAGGTGCTGCCAGTGATGCTGCAGGCTGGAGGAGAGGCCGCAGGGCTTCGGGTGGGGGACACAGGTGACTAGTAGCTGTGCAGCCAGGCTGTGCAAGGCAGAGAGGTGTAGGACCCATGGCCCTGGAGGAGGAAGAGGGCTTGACCTTACTAACCCTGCTGAGCCTGGCTGTTTGTGGAACATTTTCCTTTCCCTTGTATTTCCAGTTTCAAGGCAGCCACACCTTGCTTCTGGGCTTCCTTTCACCCTTTGGCACCCAGTACTACTGTGTAGTCTTGGCAAGGATGTCTGAACAGGGAAGAGCTGTTCTTGAAAGCACCAAAAGCAGCCTGCCATGTGTCCCCAAGTCAGGGGTAGCCTTAGTGTTGAGTTATACACTTGGACTGGACCACGTCCCAATTATAGGGCTCCTGTTCAGTTGCTGTATGGAAGAGTAGGACTGGGAAGTGTGTGGCCTCTTACTGAGGGGAACAGGATTGTCAGCTGTTTGTTCACCAGAACATTTCCTATGCCAAGGACAGTGAAGAAAGAGCAGGGCGGGGGTGTGGGCAGAACTTTGGGGTATCTGTCCTGAAGCTTTTGCTCTGGGGTGAGAGCCAGGCGTGGTGTCTAGCTACGCACACACAAGCTGGCCCTCGGGGAAGATGTACACTTGTTTTTGTCAGAGGTAGTCCTAAGAGGTCTGTAAGGATGTTAATCCCATATGCTCTGCCCATCCCCAGCTCTCCCTGGACACTTGTGAGTCCCCATCTGGCAGTCACCAACATCATCACTTTCCCCTTCTTGCTGGTAAAGGCATGTATCAGTGCTCTGGCGCATGTGATGGGTATTTAATAAATGAGTAAGGGACAAATGTGTTTGAATATGAAGAGAACCAGTAGGAAAGAAAGGGTTCATATTGCCCCTGAGCCCCAGACAAGCCTGCTCAGCACAGAGAAGCTTCCTTTATCATCATTTGGCTTTCTGGTTACTTACCTTCAATATTCCACCTGGTCCCCACTCCAGGCTACAGATGGCTTTACCCTGACAGTCAGCATCCACATACCGGGTCTTCAGTTCCCATGTGGCCAAGCAGCACTCTCGCTGAGTAACCTTTTCCTTTTCTTCTCCTCCCTCTGTCCTAGATTCATCATGTCTTTTCTGTGAGCAGTTTACCAAGTACTTGGCTTGGTTTGGGGAAGAGGCTAAAACGCAGAGTGGAATCACAGGTCTTGCTTGTTCGAACAGATGGAAGGGAGATGTGAAATTTAGGTACAGTGAAATACGCTTTAGCTACACCCAGGCTCGTCCCCAAACTTGTCCCACATGTGCTCACTTTTGCCCAAATTCTTTTCTGTGTTGCAGAGCCCTCTATTCCTCCTTCCTCAGCTTCCTGTCTCAAGTCCAGCCATGGCTCAGAAGGGGGGCTCTTCCTTTCTCCAGCCAGTGCTTACATGCCCTATGCCAGTGGCCCCCCTTTGTACTGGGCATTGCCCCTCTGTCAGGACTGGGTGCTGCATTACAAGGGATAGGGCACTCAGTTACAGAGAACTGATGTGCTAGGCATTTGTAGAGAGCAGTGACGGCTGCAAAGCCTTAAAGATTCTTATCCTTTTAGGTCTTTGCTTTGGGCTGAATTTAGCACAGTGATTTCCAATCTAATAGCAAGTGATCCCCAGCCATCACATGGCTAAGAGAAGCATGAAAACACTCTTGTTGATTAATATTTAGTGAGTGAGGGAAGCAAAGGTATATATTTTGCCCAGAATCTATAAAGAAAGCAATGGGAGAAAGGCCAGGCAAAGTTTTACATGCCTGTCATCCCAGCTCCTTGGGAGGCAGAGTTGTGAGGAGGATTGCAGCTCAAGGCCAGCTGTGTTAAAAAGTGAGGACCCCCCCCCATCTCAACCTGTAATTTGGGTGTGTTAGCACACCTGTGATGCCAGGCGTGCAAGGAGGCCAAAGATAGGTCGAAGGATCATGGTCCAAGGCCAGCCCTGGGCAAAAACCCAAGACCCTATCCAAAAAATAACCATAAAGAAAAAAAGGACTGGGTTGGGGGGTGTGACTCAAGTGATATAGTACCTGCTTAGCAAGTGTTGAGACCCTGAATTCAAACTCCAGTCCCACCAAAAGAGTGCAGCCAAGCAGACCAAGTTTGTTGATTATCTGACTTTACCTTGCCCCAGGTGCAAGGTACACTGTGCATCAAGGTACATCTGTGTGGTTGGTGCATCACCTCTGACTTTCCTGTTCTGGGGTCTTGGGTAAATCATGTCGCTTCTTTGAGTCTGTTCCTTGCCTTTGAGATGGGAGGAGAATGGTTCTCACAAGGGGTTGGAGGACCCCAAAAGAGACTGTGTGGAAGGATCTACCTACAAATTATTATTAGATCATACTACATAAAACTAGAATGCTTCTCCATTCCTCAGCTTCCTGTCCACACCTTTCCACCATACATTGAAGCCTGGTGTATAACAGAGCTTAAGCCAGGTGCCAGGTACATCCCGAGGCTCTGGACTGTAGGCTCCCACAGCCTCAAGGGACCTGTAGGCAGGTAGACAGACAAGTGACTCAGACCCAGTAATGGTCAATGAGGAGGGGCACACATGGTGGGTCCCCGAGCTCACTATAAGAGAGGCTCCCAGCCTGGTGAGAGTGGGGAGAAGGCAGCATGTGCTGTGGAAGGGGCTCCTCAAAAAGCATTCCTTTGCAACTGGTACTGCTGAGGAGTGTTAAGCAGGAATGGGGACTGGTGTGTGGCTCGAGAGGTACAGTGCCTGCCTGACAAGCACAGGGCCCTGTGCTGTTCAAACTCCAGTACCGACAAAAAAAAAAAAAAAAAAAATGACCATTTTGATAGCAGTACTGTTAGAAATTGCAATGAGAACCCCATTTCGTAAGAGCAATTAAAAAAAGAAAAAGGAATTCTGCCAAGGTGTAATTCTCAAGAAGCACATGTGACCCATTTGATGAAGAAAACCAGAATAAATGAACTCTGCTGCCATAACTCCCCCTACCCTGCGCCATGCAAAAAAAAAAAAAAAAAAATCTGGCCTTTCCAGCCCTGAGTAGTTCAACTTGGCACTGGCCAGAGACCTCCAGGTTGTGCCCTGGCTACCATGCAAGGGGGACTTACAGCACACTTCTTTTGCTTTCAGAAGTAACCGGGGAGGCACGTCCTTACCATGGAAAGGAGGCTGTGGATCCGCGGCAGGGGCGGGCCAGAAGTGACCCCACACACTTCCATGCAGTGAATGTGGCACAGCCTGTCCGCTTCAGCAGTAAGTTGCAGACCTGCCCTAACCATGCTGCCCACTAATATGTAGGCCTAAGACTCAGCCCCTGGCTCTGTGTGCAACTGCTGGGGAGGTGAGATTGTTTCCTAAACTCCAGCCCTTGGAGATTTTGGAGAGGCAGGGGGAGAGCACGAATCAGGCTGTATGGTGACCTGTGCAAGGTCATCCAGATCCCAAGTGGTAAAGCAAGACTTGTACCTAGACTCCCTAGCCAGGTTACATGTTTTCACAATGCAGCCACCTTCAGAGCAGGACAGCACTGGCCCTAAGAAATCTTATAGTTGCATTGTTCCCTTTTATACAGGGAGAAATAGGCACTAGATTAGGTACAGCTGATAGCATGGGCAGACTCCTTCAATTAAAAAAAAATTAAGTGATTGGTTAATAAGTAACTTATGACATTAATTTTTAAAAGCAGCATAACGAGGTTAAGAAAGGTTGAAAGGAGGGCTGGTGGAGTGGCTCAAGTGACACAATGCCTACCTAGAAAGCATGAGGCCTTGAGTTCAAACCTCAGTACTGAAAAAAAAAAAAAAAAAGCAAACACGTGTACTGTGGCACTGTAGATGAACTGGGGATAGTGAAGTGGCTCAAGAGGTAGAGCACCTGCCTAGAAAGGGTGAAAGGAGGAAAAGCCACAGCTAAAATGCCCACGCTGAGCAGACATGCATACAACTTAGATACAAAGAGCAACCAGAGTCAAGGAAGGAAGAATTGACAGTTGATGTGCCTGCTACGGAGCACTGGGGTCCCTCTGCTTGTACTAACACTCAGCTCACAGACTCAGTGTTGGGGAGCATCTTGGAGACTCCTTGAAGCCCTGGGCTGGGCCACTGAACCACAGTGGCTCTACCGGAGACCAATACTGTCAGTGCTGAGGAGGCCCTGGAAAATCACCCATCTGCCGGTCCCCAGTGATGACCCTGCATGGATCTGCACTTCTTTGATACTAAGGGAAAGTGTGTGGTCAGACAGAATGCATCTTTGCGGGCACATAGGAAACTTGAAGTAAATGCCACCCTATTTTCCCCCTCAGTGGCGTGTGCTATACACTCTGCATCACACTGTCTCTTCCAGGGTTGGCTCCATGTCCCTGCACACTCAGCTGTTCTTAGCCAGGCCTAAGCAGTTGTGCTGTTTAGTTTGCTGTCCTTACAAACAGTGCTGTGGACATTCCTCAGCCACTCAGAAGCCCAATTTGCCATTTCTTTCCTGTGATCTCTGTGCCTTTGTTAAGTAACACACATGTGCTTTAAATATTAAAACAGCATAAATTCCTAAGAAATTTTACAAGTTCCACAGCACATAGATGCATTTAAAAATAGCGTTTTTTTTTTTTACAACTGGCTTTGCTAAAAGTTGTTACTTTTCAGTGTACTAATAGAAGGTACTCCAGAAGTTGAAGGTTATACGTTCTATAAAGCATGCCAATGATAGTACCTCTATAAATTGTAAAGTCCCAGCACTTCCTGTCCTGAGGGACAAGTGGACAGGCTGACAAAGTGAGAAGATACCAGCTGCTTTCAGGGAGACAGAGCTCCAGCTGGTTCCTTGGCTTCCTGAGATGTGGATGTACCCAGTCTCTTTTTCTCATTTGTAGGAGGCAGGAATTGGTCCCATAATCTCATGGTTATCAGATTTTTCTACAGAAGGCCACCATCCTCCTGAAAGTGCCCATGTGAACAGAGAAGAGGGGCAGGGACTCATCTCAGAAAGCAGTGGGCTTGGTGGCAGCAGAGGCTAGGATGCTAGACATCAAGAATATTCCCTGCTCACACCCAGCTGGGCCTCACAGTGTGACTATGTAGGAAATTATGCTGTCTTATTAATCAGAGATTGAAATTCAGCAGCAGTTGGTGAGTACTAGATAGATTTAAAAACCTTATAGACATGGGAGGAATCACTGAATATACCTGCCTCATAGGTTAAATTTGTAATTGAGAGAAACGCAAGCATTTCTACATCGTGTGATCTTAGGAGGCACTTGTCTCCTTGAGCCTCAGTTTCCCTGTTTCTCTAGCATGGTTTCTGAGGGTTGTTTGTCCCTGATGCAACACATATAATTTCATTTTTGAAGTTAGGATCCTAATTTGGGGGACAACTCCCCTTCTGTCCTTCATGTTTCCTAGGAAAGTGCCCGACAGGGTGGCACCACTATGAAGGCACAGCCAGCTGCTACAGGGTCTACCTGAGTGGGGAGAACTACTGGGATGCCGCACAGACCTGCCAGCGTGTGAATGGTTCCCTTGCTACCTTCTCCACTGACCAGGAGCTACGTTTTGTCCTGGCCCAGGAATGGGACCAGCCCGAGCGGAGCTTTGGTTGGAAGGATCAGCGCAAGTGAGTCCTGGGGGTTGGAGTCTGGTCACCTGTGAACCTGAGCAAATTTACCTGGCAGCTAGCATTTGGAGAGGGCAGATCCCCACTCTCTGGAAGCAAATAGCGATTCAGGGGCTTCTTGTGGACATCAGGGTGGAGTTGGGGGCTTGTGAAGGGGGAGGGATTCCTAGGCCCTGTTGCTGCCTTGTGGGGACTCTGACTAGCTCCTTTCATTATTCCACCTCTGTGGGTACAACTGCAGTTGATAAGCATGGCCCAGGTGTGCCGGCCTGTATCTCAAGAGGCTGGTCCTGATGTGAGGGGTGTACCGTGGGTGGGGATTCCTTTTGAGAAGTAAGTCCTGCTGGCTCTGTGCTCAGTACTTTCGTTTATTCCTCCCAGAAACCTCAGGGGCTCATGGTGGGCACACATGTGACTGTGGACATAGGCTCAGTGGGCACATGCCAGGAATCAAGCCCAGGCAGTCTTCCAGAGCCTGACTCCCAAACCCCAGGCTGTGTGCATTAAGGGGAAGTTTGAGGATGTTAGTGACCACACATCCTCCGCTAGGCCCAGCATTTGGGAGATGTGGGGGTTTGTTCGGGAGATAGGATGTACTGAGGCCTGCAGTGTGCCACCTTTGAAAATTGTATCATGCTGTCCCATCCATGCTGTTGGGGTTGAGGGTTGGCTAATGGCAGCCAGTTACTGTCCTTTTCCCAGAGTGCAGCATAGCTCTGTGGGGTCGAAAAGATAGCCATTGCTCCCTGTCAGTTGTCTGCTGCCTCCCCACGATAGCATAACTGCCACACTGCTTGGCTAGGTGGAAAAGGGCTATTTCAAGACAATCTTGGTTTCAGCTCCACAGTTACATCCTGTGTGTTGTTGGCAAATCAGAAGACTAAGCTATTGATCTTAATGCAGCAGCAATGTGAGAAAAAGAACTCTTCACTCAGGTTGTTTTACCAAACCCATGAGGAAATGCCTGGGAGTCCAGTGAAGAGGCAGGAGAGCATCAGCCAGTGAATGAAAAGCCCCATCTCCTTGCCAGCCACATGTGTGCACAGTGCAGGCTGAGGGCATAGCAGCACCATGCCCGGGCTCAAAACATGGCAAGCAGGCAGGCCTGCTGATGAGTATCTCCAGAGCTGAGGCTGGAATGCTGGAGCAGGGGACTCAAACTTGGAAGATGCTTATAGCAGTCAGCCTGGTCCCTGTACAGGATCCCTCAGTGTTGAGCAGTATGCACTTGCAAACACACTGCACAGGAGGCTGGCTGTGAACAGAAAGCTGTGCACGTCTTTACCCTGCTTGGTACTGTGTATTCATAGGTCCTTGTTTTGTCATTGAGGTATAATTCACACACAACAAAATTCATCCCTTTAGGGTGTACTGTTCAGTGGTTTTAACACATTCAGAGTTGTGCTCCTGGGACTTTTGACTACCAAGAATAAGGTTGTCCTGGCTTAAAATGTGACGGCTTCATGGGATTAGCTAATAAGAACAGACTTGGCAGGATTTACCAGAAGTAGACCTTTTTCTCACCTGTGAATTTATTGCTTAGAATTTTAGCTAAAACTTAAGTCATTCATGTTTTAGAAGTTCAGTTTTCTAGAGGTCGATAGAACTGTTAAAGCAGATACACAGCAGATCTACAACGTTACTCAGCGTTGGTCAGTGGTACAGCACTCACCTAATGTCCCAGGATTTGTCCTCAGGATCAAAAAGCATACACACAAACAGATAAATATCCTCAGCACCACTAAATAAATAAATAAAGCACATGTGCTGAGGTCTCTCTTTCTGTCACCTGCAGGCTGTGGGTTGGCTATCAGTATGTCATTACTGGCCGGAACCGCTCCTTAGAAGGCCGTTGGGAGGTAGCATTCAAAGGTAAGTCTTTGTGGCTATTTGAGCGTAATGGTATCATTCCTGTGTATATACCCAAACAAATCAAGGTTAGCTTACTAGAGAGATTCCTGATTAACTATATTTATCACAGCACTGTTTCACAATAGCCAAATTATGGAATCAGTCTAGGTGCCCATCAGCAGAGTACTGGATAAAGAAATTGTGGCTTAGGGCAGATGGAGTGGCTCAAGTGATAAGAGCTCCTGTCTAGCAAGCATAAGACCCTGAATTCAAACCCCAGTGCTGCAAAAGAAAGAAATAAATTGTGATTACACATCATGGAGTTTTACTCAGCCATTAAGAATGAAATTATTTCATTTATTGGAAAATGGATGGAGCTATAGATCATCATGTTAAGTGAAATAAGCCATTCCCACAAAGGCAAGTATCACATGTTTACTCTCATTTGTACAAGTTAGGGGAAACAACAGAACAAAAACAAGGTCATAAAAGTTAAAGAGGGACTAGTAGAAAAATGGGAAGGGAAAAGGGGAATGGAGAAGGGGATAAGGCCTGGTAATAGAAGCCAGGCATGTTGTTTCCCGCCTGTAATCCCAACTACTCAGGAGACAGAGGCAGGAGAATCTCAGATTCAAGGCCAGCCCTGAACTCGCAAAAACAAAATACAAACAAAGGGCTGAGGTGTGGCTCAAGTGGTGGAACACTCGCCTAGCATGCATAAGATGTCCTGGGTTCGATCTCCAGTACCAGGAAAAAAAAAAAAGAAGAATGTGATCAAAGTACATCATATAAATATATGGAATGCCATGATGAAACCCCTTACTATATGCTATTTAATATACTCCAAATAAAAAAGGAAATTATTCTAAGTCAGAGTGTCACTAGGTTGTCCCCTCCTCCCTCCCACTCTTCCTTCTGCACCCCAATCCCATCCCCCAGCCTGCAGGGGACATGGAGAGGAGGGTGCCCAAGATTTCAGGATGATACTCTGGGGCTACTGCACAGCCCACTGTTCAGGCTCCATGTGGGACTGAGGCCTTCTCTGTAATCTATTGTTATTTCTCACTGGCTACACTGTCAGTCCTCCCTTTGGCCAAAGAGGGTAGCGGGGAGAGGGATGGAGAGAAGTTAACCCACTGGGAATTAAGTTACAGTTACATAAGAGAAAGACGTTGTGGTGCGCTGTTGCACAGCAAGATGACCATAGATAACACTAATGTATCATGCTAGAAGAAAGGATATAGGATGTTTTCATCACAAAGAAATGATAAATGTTTGAAGAGATGGATATGTTTAACCTGATTTAAACATTAGACAGTGTATCGTACCCCATTAGTATGTATAGTCTTTATGTTTTTTATGTATTAGCTAAGTAAATTTATTTAATTTTGTATTAAATTTAATAATAAATTAAGCAATAGGTATAACTCAGTGATAGAGCTGTTGCTTGGCATTCACAAGGCACCCTGGGTTCAATTCCCAGGCCCCCCCCTTTAAAAAAAAAAGAATAAAAAGTTGAATTAATAGTTAAGGACTTTGGGGCATATAAATGAGCATAGAAAGTGGGCCACTGATAATGAACCAAAGAGGAAAGGACAAACTTTCTTAGTCAGAGAGGTTGAGAATTAGATTCCAAAACCTGAAGGAAACTATCAGGTAGATAGAGTTGTTTCAAAGATTTTATGTCAAGTTGCTTGGAAATACCAAGGAACAGAAAGAAAACATAGGTACTATAGGCAGTGGAGTCCCCCTGGCCTTTCCCTCTCCTATTGCCCTATTGCCCTGGATCTTTGGAGTTCTGCCTGGGAGCCATCATTGTACCTGCTGTACTTGCCACCCAAGCCATATTCCTCTAGACTGCCCTTTGTTAGTTCTTGCCTATTGGGTTTGTCTTTAGGCCTCTGGCTTGAGCTCAGGTCCCTGAGACACATCTCAGTCCTGCTGCTTATGGCTTCAGTGTCTCTGAGAAACACAGTAAAGAGTGGTGGGCTCTAAAACAAGGTTGCAAATAGTCAGGACCTCAGGCAGCCAGCTTCCTAGAGAGAGGCAGGGCTCCAGAGAGGCTGTCACTATGCCTGGCAGCTGGGCCAGGACAGGGAAGAGAACTAGAGGCTGAGGGCCACACCCACTGATCTCTGTTCCTACTAAGAACATCCTCCCATTCTTGTGTCTTCTGATTCCTTACTGAAAACACCACCCACATTTGCATTTCCATACTTTGTGTATGTGTGTGAATTAGATGGCTTTTGACCTTCTAGGCCCCAAAGTCATGATGTGCCTTGTAGAGGACCATTCTACTAACTTTTCACCTGCTCTCATCTCAGCTGTTGGAGGTGAATCTTTTAAATGCTGTAGTTCAGGCCAGCCTTCAGGACAGTATTGACACTAGTGAGTATGGCTGTCTTCTGGATACTGACAGGTAAAGAGGGAAGGCATCTGTGTGCATGGCATGACAGCATGCCTGACTCGGTGGATTCGGACCCTTGTCCCTGGCCTGAGAATGGCAGAGGCCCCAGATGGGCTGTAATGACCATGTTTGTCTCAGTGGCTTTGTTGGGATATAAGGAGAACAAACCTAAAATTTAGAAAAAGATAGTGTATGTGTCAGTACTGGTAGCTATGGCTGCCATAGGATCCCATTTGTGTAGCTCAGTGGACAAGTGGTCCCAGTGCAGGAGGGGGTACTTGTGAACGGCATCCAATAGCACTGTACAGAGACAGCCTGCTATTGGCTGCAAATTTGGGGGTTCTGTTAGTAGATTTAAGTAATAGTCACAAAATGAATATGTGGTTAAAAGAGATTCTTTGGCATATAAAAGCAATATGTGACTCTTGATAGCATCTTGGGTTTGGGAGTTTTTGGTTTTTTTCTTTAATTTACATGTGACAATTAGGGATTTGAATATGGGCACACAGATGATGCTGGTTTTCTCTTTCTTTAACTCCACCTCCAGAACAACTCATAATGTGTCAAGCTGTGTGTAGGTTCTGGACCAGCTGAAGAATCTCTTTTAATCTCATATTTGTTTTGTGACCACTAGCAGAATCCCCCTCCATGGCCATCTGCAGGGGAAGGCATCCACAGTGGCCAGGGAAGGAGAGGAAGCAAACAGTAGGCTGAAGCTGCATGTGGGTGCATCACACTCTTCTCTCTGTTTTTGTGCATTTAAAATTTTTCATACCAGAACTATTTAAGGAGCGTTCTACCAAGAGAATGTGGAGTGAACTGGGCATGGTGGCTCAACGTCTGTAATCTCAGCTACGTGGAAGGCAGAGATAGAAGGATTATAGTTCAAGGTCAGCCTGGGCAAAAAAAAAGCAAGACCCCCGTCCCAACAAATAAGGCAGGTGTGGCAGGTCATGTCTGTGGTGCATGTCGGTGATCCCAGCGACACTAGAGGCGTAGGCAGGAGGATTTCCATCTGAGGCCAGACTTAGGCAAAAACACAAGACACTCTGAAAAACAGCTAAACCAAAAAGGGCTGGAGGCATGGCTCAAGTGGTAGAGTGTTTAAGGCTCTGAGTTCAAACCTCAGTACCACCAAAGAGGGACAGATTTAGAGAGAGAGAGAGAGACTGAGACTGTAGAGTGAGAAGAAGACTGAAAACACAAAGGCGCGTGGCTGAACCTGTCTCCTGCCTCCTGCCCCCAGAAGGAGCTCTCACCAGTTACTCTTTGCTGTTCATGTCATGGTGCAAAACCAGAATGGGATTGACTGCATCCAAGAGAGTAGCCCGTAGCTCAAGGAAAAAGTACCCTGGAAACAGTATGAAGTACTTTTAAATCTTTTGTCATTAATGATGAAACTAAGAATGTGGTGTGCCTAAAAATATTAGCTTAAAAAAATTAGCCTCACAGTAAGATGTTTTAGATAGTCTGTTTCAACTACATCTTGTGCTGCTTTCTTCTTCTTTTAAAAGGTTCTGAGTTGGCACAGTGCTGCATGCACGTTACATGTATTTATCTATGCCCCTATACAGCTCCCGTCAGCTCCCGGGCCACTCCCCAGGAGGTGCCTCTGCTGCTCACAGCTCAAATGTGCACATGAGCCCTGCCCAGCGATGCTGAGGCTCTGCAGATTTGGCAGCACTGGGTCCTAATGTATGCTGAACTCGGAGCTGCCACTGCCAGCAGACACAGGCCCGTCATTTTTATAACATGCAAAAAGTGTGAAAAAATGCAAGTCTTTGTTGACTAGAGAGAATCAGTCATATTTTCCCATGTGCCACCCACAGGGCCTCCCATCGTCATGGCTAACACCGTTGCTTCAGTTTCTAGCTATTCATGTCTGTTATTTATTTTAAAGCACAAACGTGAAACATACTGTGTAATGTGCACATGCATTGTGTAAATTCCTCTTTTAAGATTCACTCAGAGCTGGGCATGGTGGCACACATCTATAACCCCAGCAACTGGGAGACTGTTCAGGGGAACCAAGAGCATTCCCGGTCTCACATAGTGAGACCCTATCTTTTTTTTTTAAAAGGTTTTGTGGGGTTTTTTTTGTTTTTGTTTTTGTTTTGTTTTGTTTTGTTGATGGTACTGGGATTTGAACTTTGGGCCTCATGCTTGCTAGGCAGGCACTCTACCACTTAAACCACTCCACCAGTCCTGTTTTTGTGCTAGGTATTTTTGAGATAGGGACTTGCTTTCATTTTGCCTGGGCTGGCCTTGAACCACAATCCTCCTGATTTCTGCTTCCTAAGTAGCTAGGATTATAGGAGTAAGTCACTGGTACCTGGTGAGACCCTGTCCTTTAAGCTGGGTACTGAGAAGGTAACACCCACGCACAGGAAATCAATGTGAGTCAATGCCCTGTATAGCTATCCTTATCTCAACCAGCAAAAACCCTTGTTCCTTCCTATTATTGCTTATACTCTCTCTACAACAAAATTAGAAATAAGGGCAAAATAGTTTCTGCTGGGTATTGAGGGGGGGGTAGAAGGAGGAGGCGGAGTGGGTGGTAAAGGAGGGGGTGGGGGCAGGGGGGAGAAATGAACCAAGCCTTGTATGCACATATGAATAATAAAAGAAAAATGAAAAAAAAAAAGCTGGGTACTGGCTGCTCACACCTGCAATCCTAGTTTCTAGGAGGCAGAGATGAGGAGGATTGAGGTTTGAAGGCAGTTCCAGGCAAATAGTTTGCAAGACCCCATCACAGAAAAGGGCTGATGGAGTGGCTCAAATGGTAAGAGTGCCTGCCAAACAAGCATGAGGCCCCAAGTTCAAACCCCAGTGCCACAAAATAAAGGAAGGAAAGGGAGGGAGGGAGGAAGAGACTTACTTAGAGCTTACTTACTTAGACTTACTTACTTACTTAGACTTACTTACTTACTTACTTACTTACTTACTTAGGTAACAGTTCCCATCTGTTACCTCCTCCCATACTTCAGCAAACACGCCCACTGGTGGGACTCATGTGCATCCCAGGTTAACAGAGATCATCCTCTCTGTCCCGGTGTTGTATCCAGCAGAAGACAAGGCTATGTTGTAAGATCCTGATGGTAAGATCAGTAAACAGAGCTTCAATCCTGAACCCAGCCATGGGACCTAGCATCTAGAAGCCTCAGTAAGCAGTGAGGGAGAGGCCAAGCTGGAGTGGGGTCAACCAGGGAGAGGCTGCAGTGTGCACAGGGAAGAGAACCCCAGTGGAGCAGCTGCCTCCATCCTGGGAGTTCTGGGGGAATTCAGACAGCCCCGTGGGCCCTATGCAGGGTTGTTCTGTGGGTGCTGAGGTAGCAGGTTGGAAAGAGGAGGTACTTCTTGGGGAAGCAGATGGCATGCTGGCTTGAAAAGTAAGTGAGGGTTCTCCTAAGCTGAGGAAGTAAGGGATAGACACAGGTGGGGGTGGCTGTCTTTGCAGACTGCAGATGTGGCAGCAGAGGCACATTTAGATGCCTTGCATGGTAGGCTAAGAAGTGACACCCGAGCAGCTCATATATTGACAGTGGGGGGACTAGAAGCTTGCCACCACCCTGTTGCTCCAAGGACTGGATCCTCTGTGGTGGAGGTGGGTGAGAGGAGGGGTGTCCTAAGGGAGATTTAGGAAGATGGATTTCTCTAGCGTTAGCCAGGGTGACTGTATTTGTGATGCCTTTCTCCAGGACCTTTCAGGAAGAGTAGGATGGCTGAACATGTACAGGAAAAAAACCTGTGGAAGGGTTACTGCCAGTTAAGTACGGGGAGTCCTTGGCTCCCTCTCAGACCTCATGCCCTTTCGAATACACCCAGGATCTCTACACTGGTCATCAGCCCTGAAGCCCCACTCAGACCTGACACCCTGATCATCAGTCACCTAATCATCACAGTAGCCTCCAGGCAGTGCCCTTACTCCCAGTGTTTCCTCACACACCTTCTAGAAGGTCCTTTTTTCCTTGGCTTCAGTCCTTCATGGCTCTCATTTCTTGCAGTTACAGTCTTCAACTGAGGCCAGCAGCCCCCTTCCCTCTCTGCCCACACCTGCCATCCCACCCTTCTGTCCAGCCCCACTTCTGCTTTGCTCTTGGCTCCCACTGTGATCCCTTCCTGGGATGTTCCTGTCCAGTCTCCCGGGTTTAGGCCTTGGTTGATGTCTAGAAACTTTGTAGCAACTAGGACACTTGCCTAGGAAGCTCAATACCCTGAGTTCAATCCCTAGCACCTCCCTGAAGAAAGGGACACACCACATTGCCATCTTAGTGAATGATAGCTTGAGGTGTATTCTGTCATTCTACCTTGTAGGAAATGTTACTTTTCTACTTGTAGTGATTCTTGTTGGATTAGGCAAAAGGAATCTTGATGGCCCAGCTTGGAGGGCTCCTGGGACATTGCTGAAAATATGTTGGAGGTTAACATCCCCCTCCCCAAGCACACCCCGTATCCTCATGCTGTCAGGGTTTCTGTTCACCTTATCCCCAGCCGGGAGGGCAGGAGCAGAGTGGGTGGCAGTTTTCCCTGAGCTGTGAGAGGGTCCTAGGGAACCAGTGCCTGCCAGGACTCACTGTGACCAGCTGGTGGGGATGCTGATGCCCTAGGTGGGTGTTAAAGTTGATGATTCTGCCCTAATAGTCCATGACTCACAGATGCTATACAGAGGCATTCTGGGTGCTCCATTTTTTACTAGATATGTTAGACAGTTTTTTATCACGGTGACAAATGCATGAAAGAAACAACTTAAAAGAAGGAAAGAAGCAGGGCATGGTGGCACACAACTGTAATCCACACACTCAGGAGGCTGAGGCAGGAGGATCACGAGTTTGAGGCCAGCCTGGGCTACCTACTGAGACCCTTTCTCAGAAAACCAAAAGAAAAAAGAAAAGGAAAGATTTATTTTGGTTTAGTTTTAGTGATTTCAGTTCAAGACTAGCTGGATCTATTGTTTGGGGCCTAAGGCAAGACAGAATAATATGACAGCAAGAGCATGTTACAGAGGGTGCTTGCCTCATGATGGCCAAGAAGCAGAGACAGGAACACACCCCTATAACCTCCTACCACCAACTAGGTCCCATCTCCAAAAATTTCTCCCACCTCCCAATGATGTCATCAAATTATAAATTCATCAATGAATCTATCATAATCCACTGATAAAAGGCATGATAGCTTATTCCTGTAATTGAGGTGGAGATCAGGAAGATTGCAGTGTGAGGCCAGCCCAGGCAAAAGGTTCACAAGACCCCATCTCAATCAATAAAAGCTGGGGGCAGTGGTACATGTCTGTCATCTTAGCTGTATAGGAAGTGTAAACAGGAGGATTGTGGTCCAGGCCAGCCCTGTGGGAGAGCCTGTCTCAAAAATAACTGACCCAAAAGGGGCTGGGGTGTGGTTCAAGTGGTAGAGCACCTGCCTAGCAAGCACAAAGCCCTGAGTTCAAATCCCAGTACCACCAAAAAAAAAAAAAAAGCCTTCATGATCCCATCACTTCTCAGTGATTAGATATAGTCACTGGGGATCAAGCCGTCATCATGTGAGCCTCTGGTGAGCACTTTATATTCAAACCATGACACTGGGCATTCTGTCTTAGGAAAGAACTTTCTCTTACCCATTTGTTCTCGATCCATTTCCCCACTTATTTATTCCTTTTTTCTTTTTTGGTCTTTATGAACTACACTCCCCCCCCCTTTTTTTTTCTTGGCAGAACTGGGGTTTGAATTCAGGGCACTGTGCTTGCTAGGCAGGTGCTCTACCACTTGAGCCACTCCGTCAGCCCAAACTACATTTTTGTTGGTATGAACTCCTGTGTTGTAATTCTGTACTTCATTACTCAAGCTGTTTGTCTAACTTTAAACACTCCTAGCAAATCACCATCCAGCATACTCTTCTTTCCTAGGTAGCACTTGTCACTACTGGGGTTTTCTCGTTTCTTGTCTGTTGAGGCCCTGCCAGGCCTGGTGTCTGGAACTGACTTCTAAGAGGTCTCAGGAGTCACGCATGTGACTGGGACCACAAGGAACCACTAGCACTTGGTGGTCTACAAGCTATAGTCCCTTTGAGGACTTTGCATGACTCTCTGCTTACATTCTGTTGTGTGCAGGCTTACCTTTTGTCTGTTGCCACAGGCTCGTCAGAGGTGTTCCTGCCCCCAGACCCCATCTTCGCTTCTGCCATGTCTGAGAATGACAATGTGTTCTGCGCCCAGCTCCAGTGCTTCCACTTCCCCACCCTGCGGCACCACGACCTTCACAGCTGGCATGCTGAGAGCTGCTATGAGAAGTCTTCATTTCTGTGTAAAAGAAGTAAGTTCCTGGAGTCTGTCTTCTCAGGAAGCTGTCAGAGCCCTGAGGTCAGCCTCCAGTAGGCTCTGACCTCAAGATGCTCTGAGGCAGATCCATCCACTTGGCCTCTGTAGCTCTGTGGCCTGAGCAGCTGTGGGCATCTCTAACTCTGCTTCTCTTTCTTAGGGTAGAGACCATAATTGTACCTTTCCCACTTCAGTGTTGTTAGGAGATTAAAAGGCACCGCTGGAGCATCTGAGTCCCTCAGTCACCTCTCCTGGCTCCATAGGTCCTTCCTGCTCTTTACTCTTTGCCTTATCTGGACTGCTCCTTCCCCCATGGCTGGCATGAGTCTTTCCCTGTCCCTCTGCCAGTGCATTCACCCAAATTCCACATCAAGGCCCTTTTCAGCTTTGGGGGCTCACAGTATTGTCGTGCCAACCAAGGACGGGATTATGTGATGGAGGTGAGAGGGTTGTAGCAGCCTTGGCAGCTGCTGACAGTTGCTAATGTAGGAGTCCAGTTCAGCTAATGACCTCAGCTGTGTTGTTGTGGACCATCCCTCTCTCCTCTGCTGGTGTGTCACAGACCAAGACTTCATGTGCATCTCGGCCTATTTCTGGACTCCATTCAGACTCTTGGCTCTCTCAATCCTGTATTAGTGCCACACTGCTATCCTTAGCTTCGCTGGCATTGGGACTCCTCTTGACAATTATGTCAACTTTTCTTGGCCTTTTTCTCTTTTACATGGACTTGAGGATTTATTTGAACATTCTTATTCTTTTAGTGTGAGAATTCTCCTAGATTATCTATGTAGACAGTTTTGTTTCTTTCAAATCTTGGACTTCTGTTTCTTTACCTTTTTTTTCCTTATTAACTTTTCTCACATTGACTAGAAGTAATTTGAACAGTTTTTCCTTCTCAGCCTAAAACAGAACACTTTTAGTGTGTGAGCATTAAATATACACTTTTTTTTTTTTTTTTTTTTTTTGGTAGTACTAGGGGTTGAATTCAGGGCCTAGAGCTTGTTAGGCAAGTGCTCTACCACTTGAGCTATGCCTCCAGCCCAAGCATACTTCCTGTAGGATTTTGGAACATATCTTTTTGAGGTTAAGAAATTACCCTTCTATTTCTACCTTTCCAGGAACAAAACTATTAAAATATTAAAGAATGTTTGGTATTTATTGGGGTTATGTGATTCTTCTTTAATCTCTTCAGTTTGTTCATTTTTTTATTTCACATTAGGAGATTTTTTTCCCCCTTTTTTGGTGGTACTCAGGTTTGAACTTGCTAGGCAGTTTTGAACTTGCTAAGCAGGCACTCTGTGCTTGAGCCATGCCCTAACCCTTTTTACTTATTTTACTTTCAAGTAGGGTTTCACACTGCTGCCTGGGGTCAGTCTCAGACTATAATCCCCCTACCAGTACCTCCCAGGTAGCTGTTGTTAGAGGTATACACCACCACACTTGGCTTATTTGTTGAGATAAGGTCTCTAACTTTTTACCGGTCTGGCTTCAAACCTCCGTCTTCCTGATCAGTGCCTCCCATGTTCCTCACATTAAAGGTGTGAGCCTCCATGCCTTTGTTTTTGTTTTGTTTTGTTTGAGACAGGATCTCACTCTGTTGCCCAGACTGATCTGTAATTCCTGGGCTCAAGTGATCCTCTTGCCTTAGCCTCTCAAGTACCTGAGACTGCAGGTGTGTACCACCACACTAGTCCTGGCGTTTTGTTTTTTTTAATACATATATTAGATTGCTGGATTTGGTTTACTAATACATCATTCAGAATTTTTAAGCTTAAGAAGTAAGCTTGGCCTAGTTCATTCCTTTTCTGTAGTCTCCTTAAGTAATTTTTGTCTCGTGAATATTTGTTTGTATAAGGTAAGGTAGGGAGCAGTCTCTTTTACCATTCTCTAAATCTGTTTATGGAAGTTGGGGATAACTTGTTCTTGAGTATTTGGTAGACCGTGCCTTACAGGACCATCTGCATGGGGGAGGGGGCATAGATGTAATTTCAAACTTAGGGAAAAGTTGCTGGAATAGCATAATGAACTTACTCTTGTATACTCTTCACCAGGTATTTGTATTTTGCTACATTTGCTTTATTATTCATTCTCTGTGCATATTTTTTTCTGAATCACTTGTGGGTAAATTGGAGATACTGTGGACCCTTGCTCCAGTGTATGTTTCCTAAGAACAAAGAAGGACTTAAGTGGTCAAGTGTCTGTCTAGCAAGCCTGAGGCCCTGAACTCAAACCCTAGTATCACCAAGAAAAAAAAACATTGTCTAAGAACAATGAATATCCTCCTATATAACCATAATACATTGTTCAAAATCAGGAAACTCAGCCTGAATATAATACCATCCAGTAGTTCACAATCCATTACACCAGTTTTGTCAGTGGTTCCATATCCTTTGTAGCTACTTTTTTGCAGTGGAGCCAGAATCATGTATGGCACCTAGTTCTGATTTTTTTTTTTTCTTTTGTGGTACTGGGGCTTGAACTCAGGGCCTTCACCTTGAGCCACTTCACCAGCCCTATTTTTTTTTGTTTTTTTGTGAAGGGTTTTTTCAAGATAGAGTCTCGCCAACTGTTTGCCCAGGCTGACTTCAAATCACAATCCTCCTGATCTCTGCCTCCTGAGTAGTTGGGATTATAGGTGTGAGCCACCGGCACCTGGCTTTAGTTGTGATTTCTAGTTCCCTGTCTCTGAAGTTTACTAATTCTTTCCATGGCTGTCTCAAGTATGAGCCTGTTGAGGGCACTCTTCTTCTGTTTTGTTCATTTTTTCTGTGTCTTTCAATAGCTAGTATTTTTGTTTGATTCTTTCTTACAGTTTTCATCTGATTGGGTTTTTTTTTTTAATTAAATAATGTGTGTGTGTGTGTGTGTGTGTGTGTGTGTGTGTGTGTGTGTGTGTTAGTGTTAGTTACTGGGGACTGAACCCAGGGCCTTGAGCTTGCTAGGCAGACACTAAAACACTGAGCTACATCCCTAGATTTTTTTTTTGTTTGTTTTAAATTTATACTAGGAATTAAACCCAGGTCGTCAGGCTTGCTAGGCAAGTGCTCTACCACTTGAACTACACCCCTAACCCTTTTGCTTTTATTTTGTTTTTGAGATAATGTCTTGCTAACTTTGCCCAACCTGGCTTTGAACTGGAGATCCTCCTGCCTCAGCCTCCTGAGTAGCTGGGATTTCAAGTCTGTTCCATCATGCTCAGCTCGCTACTAAATTTCCCATCTGATTTTGTATGTGTCTGCCTTTTCCACTAGCGACTTTAACATATTAGTCACAGTTATCTTAAATTCCCCATGGGATGGTTCCTTTGTGTCATCTGGGTCTGGTTTTGTTGACCATTTTGTTTGAAGTGTGACTTTTTTCTGGGCATTTCATTGAAAACCAGACATTTTGTGTAGGAAATAGACATTTGGTGCTGGCAAGTAGCTACACCCTTCCTTCCGTTAGGCTCTTAGTGCAAGGAGATATTTAATACTGTGAGAAGGTATCTTCGGGGAGAGTTGGGCTGGGCTTGGGGTTTGTTAGCATAATGTTTACCATTGCTACTCCCCAGCTTTCACTATGCCCCCAGTTCATATTCGGTAGCAATGTCTTGAATAGCTGTTCCATCCTCCATGTTAGGCCTTCTCTTTGGGCTGCCTCTCATAGTCTGCCTCTTGGAGATACACCATTGTGAGTGAGTCAAAGCTTTAGCCTGGTGGTGTTAGGGGCTGATGTTCTGATTAAACCTCAGACTTCCCTGAGGCCAGTGCCCTGGGTTTCCAGGGTATGGCTTTCATACATGCTTAATCTACTCCTCTAGCTGGAGTTGGATCTAGCACTGAGGCTTTCACCAGTATTCCAAAGACTCCAAGTGCACCCTGATTTATAGAGGTGAGCTGATCAGAGAGGGTAGGTAGCAGGTTTGGGGGTTCATATTTGACTTTTTCTGATGGTTCCTAAGTTAGAAGTACAGGTACAGAATAAGGAAGCTGGCAGTCACTGACCAGATCTTGAATGCCCTGGTTGGTCACTGAATAGGTGATGGGTTCTTTGGTCACATATGGCCTGACCATTGTCAGATACATCATGAGGCAGAATTGTTAAATAAATGGTACATATAGTCTGTAACCTTTGGTGTTAGCTTTTTGCTACTCATAATTCCGTGGAGAGTCATTCACATTGTTACTTAGATCAAGTTCGTTCCTTTTTATTGGTGAATAGCAGTTCATGGTTTTGTTCCGGTAACCATTTGCCTGTTGAAGGACATCTGGACTGATTCGTTTTTGACTATTGCAATGAAAGCTGCTGTGAACATTTGTGTGCGTATTTTTATGTAAACATTAGTTTTCATTTCTTTGGGATGTTTACCCAGAATTGCAGTTGCTGAGTCGTTAGGATAGTTGCATGTTTAGTTTTTTTAAGAAACAAGCAAACTCTTTTTCGGAGTGGCTATACATTTACATTTCCACCAGCAATATCTGAGTGACCCAGTTTTCCCTACTTTTTTTTTTTTTTTGAGATACTAGGGTTTGAGCTCAGGGCCTACACCTTGAGCCATCCCACCAGCCTTTTTTGGAAGGGCTTTTTTGAGATAGGGGCTCGTGAATCTCCATCCTCCTGATCACTGCCTCCTGAGTAACTCTCTACTTTCACCAACAGTTGTTTTCACTGTTTTTCCTTTTGGCCATCCTAAGGGATGTGGTACCATCTCTTCCTGATTTTTTTTTTTTTTTTTGGTGGAATTGGGGTTTAAATCAAGGCTTCTTACTTGTAAAGCAGGCAGTCTACTGCTTGAGCCACACCTCCAGTCCCATGTCCTTGTAATTCTAATTTGCAGCTCTGAGCCACATCTTTTCATGTGCATAATTGTCATCTACATATTTTCTTTGCTGAAATATCTGTTGATGTTATTTGTCCATTTTTTATTTGGATTGTTTGGGTTTTTTTAACTGTTGAATTTTGATAGTTTTTTATGTATTCTAGATACCAGACCTTTGTCAGATATACGGTTTACAAACATTTTCTGCTGTGTAGTTTGTCTTCATTTTCTTCACAAAGATTTCAATAAAACAAAAGTTTTTAAGCTTGATGAAATCCACTTTATCAACTTTTCCATTTTATGGATTGTTTTTTGAATGTCAAATCTTTTAACTGCTTTTTGCCTAGCTTTATAGTCTGAAGAATTTCTCCTGTTTTTTTCCTAAAAGTTTTATAGTTTTATGTTTGACACTTAGGTGTATGATCCATTTTGAATTAATATTTTTTATTAGGTCAAGCTCCCTTAATCTAGTATAACTTTGCTCCCACATGCCTCCTATGTACTATATTGGTAAGTGTGTGTAAGTGTGTATGTGTGTGTGTGTTGGGGATTAAACCCAGACCTTTGTATGTGCTAGCTAGGCAAGCACCAGTGAGCTGCATTCTCACACATCCTCAGCCCCACCTTCATTTTTTGAAAGATAGCTTTGCTGGACCTGAATTTTTGATTGACAGGCTTGCCTTTGAGCTTTGACTACAATATCCTACTACCTGTGCCCTCAGTTGTTTCTGCTGAGAAGTCAACTATTAAGCTTTTTTACTTTTAAGTCAGAAAGTTTTTATTTAAGGAATTTCACATGTTGTGATTCTTCACTATACATCATAGTTCCTCTGAAGATGAAGTTCAAGATTTCTCCTCGAGGTAGCTCTTTTTAAAATAACTGATACTTAATCCACTTATCCTGTCAGCCCACAATTCTTTTGATTTGTTTTGTGGTACTGGGGTCTGAACTCAGAATATCTTCCTTGGTAGGCAGGTGCTTTATACTTGAGCCACGCCTCTAGCCCAGCCCACAATTCCTTATTAGGCTTCCTTTATCTCCACTTGAGATATAGCCATACTGATGACAACTTTGAAATTCCCCAGCTGAGATCTTTGGGATCTGATTTCTTCAAGCAGTTTATTTTTGGATTACTTTTAGGGGAGATGAATCTCTGGTTCTCAACTGATGACATCCCACTTCTCTAAACATCAGTGAGTTCAGATCATCTTACTACAGATCTGTGGGATCTGCCAATACTGCATTTAAAAAAACACGAGCCACTCATAGTATTCAGGTTCCCTTATAAGTAACAAGTCATTTTCTGTTTGCTGCTTTTAAGATTTTCACTGTCTTAGATTTTCAGCGTTTTTACTATGCTGTGTCAGTTTGTGGGTCATTTACATTTGTCCTATTTGGATCCTGTTTGTTGCATTTCCTGGATGTGTAGGCTTTGGTTTTTATGGGATTGAGGTAGTTTTCAGCCATTATTTCTCTTGACTTACTTCTTCTCCTTTTGGAAGTTTCAGTTCCCTATGCTGATGTGCTTGACCATGCAGCATACTTCTCCAAAAGCTCTGCTCACTTCTCTTCATCCTTTTCTCTCTTTTGTGGCAGGGAATACTTTTGTGTGACTTGTTCCCCTGGGACACCTGGCCACACGGATGGCAAAGATTTGGCCCCAGTCTTGATTGAGGCACTGAAGTTTCTGAGGTCTTTTTCTAGACATCCCCACCTCATTTGGAGAATGGAACAAGCTTCCTTCTTGTGGTCCTTTGCCTGTTGCTGAACGTGTATCTCTCTGAGGACCCCTCAACCCTTGTAGCCTCCCTAGGAATTTGTCACATCTGCCTGTCAGCTTAAAGGTCTGGTTGTAGCTGTTTCCTTTGTGCAGTTCACTACAAGCATCTTAACTCCAGGAGCTACTCTTCCCAAGCAGAACCTGCAGCTTCTTTGAGACATTGAAAACATATTCTGATTTAAAATGGTTAAGTTCCATAACAGCTGCAGCTAGAACTGGGAAAGTCTCATAAATATACTACCTAATCAACTTAAAAGCAAATGCTTCAGACTGGAGGTGTGGCTCAAGTGTTAAAAGTGCCTGCTTTGGAAGCACAAAACACTGAGTTCAAACCCCAGTTCCACCAAAAAAAAAAAAAAAAAAGCAAATGCTTCTACAGGGACCTTCACCCTGAAGGTTGCATTCTTCTCTGTTCTGGCGGCCTGGGCTCTGTGGGCTGCATTTGCCCTAGCCAGGTGCTCTTTGTTGTAATAGTGTGCTGTAGTGACTGCTGTCTGACAGTTTTTCCCAGCCCAGGGAGGACTCTGGACAACTCCTTAGTTGCCACGTCCCCTCCAAAGGCCTAGGTCTGAGTGGGAATCTGGGCTCATTTTGTTGGCAGTGCATACATCTGTGCACACGTGTGCCTGTTGCAGGTCAAACATGTGTTGACATCAAGGACAATGTGGTGGATGAAGGATTCTACTTCACTCCCAAGGGGGACGACCCATGCCTGAGCTGCACCTGCCACGGAGGGGAACCCGAGATGTGTGTGGCTGCCCTCTGCGAGCGGCCCCAGGGCTGTCAGCAGTACCGTAAGGACCCTAAAGAATGCTGCAAGTTCATGTGTCTGGATCCAGGTAAGACTTTTTTTTGGGGGGCAGTTCAAAGGTGGGGGGAGGAGTTGAACAGGACTTCACACCTGCTAGGCAAGGCCATTTTTGCCTTGTGGGTTTTGTTTTGTTTTTTTTTGGTTTTGATTTTGTATTACTGGGGTTTGAATTCAGGGCCTGTGCTTACTAGGTATTCTACCAATTACACCACGCCCCCAGTTCTGCTTTAGTTATTTTATGCCCAGGCTGGTCTGGACTTTGAGCCTACTATTTATGCTTCCCTGAGTATCTGGGAATAATACACACATGCCACCACACCCAGCCATTGGTTGAGATGGGGGTGTTATGAACTTTTAGTGGTCTGGTGTTGAATCACAATCCTCCCAATCTCTGCCTCAAGTAGCTAAGATTACAGGCTGCACCCACCATACTGGGCCCAGGTGAAACTGACTCTTGCGGGCAGATAATGAGTTAACCTCCTCCTTCCGGGCCAGAAGCTAGACATCCTTTTGCTTCTTCTGTAGTGGGAATTTACAATCCCTCATTTTACGTGACACAGCAGCAATGATAGCACTTACAGAGCTGTCTCAGAGGCTTTTTTTTTTTTTTTTTTTTTTGGTGGTACTGGGTTTTAACTTAGTAAGCACACTACCACTTGAGCCATTCCACTATCCTGCTTTAGTTTTTGGATTTTTTCCTAACTCATTTCCCTTTTATTAAAGTCCATGTTACCATTACATGGCTTGACACTCAATAAAGGAAAATTTGTTCAAATAAGATAATATGTTATCATCAGCATTTCCAGTGTACAATCAAGTAGCAATATCAATAAATCTGTGGGAAGCCCATCTGTGGGGTTTTACACTTTGTCAAGACACAGTTCCTCTGGAGTGGAGATTCCCAGTTTGTTTAAAGTTAATCTAAGTCCCTCGATGACATAGGGCTAGATTTCCTTATGAAGTCTGGCTTTGTCCTTAACAACTTTTAGGATGTGAACAGCACTAGCAAAATCATTTAACTGTCTTCAAGCCTGCAAAGCAGCATCAGTGATTTTGGGTTTTGGAACCAGATCATAGCCAACAAGAATGGTCACCCCTTTACACGATTCCCAGGCTCTATGTCTGGTTTGTTGAAGTATGTCACCCAGAGAGCATAGTGGCAGCGGGCTGGGGCCTGCTGAGTGCTGGAAGCCTCTAGGGACAGCCGGGCCACTGCTGCCACCGCTGCTGCCACCGCGCAGCAACTGAAGAGCAGCACCTAGCATCGCGGTGATAGTGACACGCTGCCTGAGGCTGGAGAGAAGCTGGGTGTGAGCTCGTGGGCCTGCTTATGTTTCAAGTAGGGTCTCGCATTTGCCTGGGCCAGCCTGGATTTCAGTCCTATTTATACCTCCCTGGTAGCTGGGACCATACACACATGCCACTGTGCTCAGCTTATTGACCGATTTAGGATCTGGCTTTTGGCATGGGCTCATACTGCAGTCTTCTCCATCTCTGCCTCCTGAGCAGCTGGGATTACAGGTGTGAGTTGCTACACCGAGGATGAACTTGAATTTGACTGTGGCCAGTTGTTCACAAATCAATTGAAACTGCAAGCTTCAAACCCGTCTTTCTTCTCTCTTTTTAAGATTCAAGAGCTAGACTTGCAATTTATGCCTACATTTGAGTTCTTCCTCCTTGTATTACAGTGTGCTGTGGAAGGTAGTGACAGTTGTCCTTGCTTACAATCATTGATGTTTGCTGATAGAATATTCAAGGAAAAGAGTATTACCTTCAGTTTTAAGATAAAACTCCTCACCACTAGGTGGTGCTTTAAGGTGGATGCTACACAGGAATCTGCTTTCGAGATGACCATCCACCTCCTTCTACTTGCAACAAAAGAGCAGCAAGGGGCTGGGTGAATAGCTCAGTGGTAGAGCACTGAACTAGAACATGCAAGGCAGGCATCCTGTACCCAGCACTTTAAAAAAAAAATGCTCATTAGCACTTACCAGGCACTCTGCCTAGCATGCATCATTGCCACACATCAGAGCCACTGGCAGCTCTGCATGGATTCAGGTCTCAAGTATGAATCAAAAGCATGAGTTTGCTTCTTTATTTGGTGCCACAGTGTGAGAATGATGTGGTAGGGATTTATGGAATCCCCTAGGCTCGTAAACGATGCAAAATAGCAGTGTAGGCAGGCACTACTCCAACCCCCAGGGGAAGAGAGGCTAGAACTCGAGTGTAGGGATACAACTGTGAGAACTATCCCTGAGTGAAATCATGCCTTGAGAGCTGCTGGGTGGGAGAGTAGAGCTATCCTTCAAAGCCTGTGTTTAAGACTGGCAGAAGTAGGCACTGGTGTATGTACCATCAGGTTTGTGCAGTTGACTGTAGTGAGTAAGCCGAGAGGCCATGCTTGCAGACAAGCCCACCAGGGGACAGGGAACTTGAGATCAGTCAGGAGGGCCCTTGGGCATCCCCCTTCCCACAGGGAAGACAATTTTCTGCTCACATAGGGTGCATCTGTACTGGGTCATGAAAAACTGATTGGACACTTAACAAGTTTCCTGTGCTTAGCCACATCACTCCAAACCTTGAGCTCAGTTACCATCTCTGGGAGTCAAAGTCTGTCTCATCTGGGTTCCTGATTCTGTTTCTCAAGAATCTCCCAGTGCTTCCCTGCCACTCTGTTCAGGCTTTGTAAAAACGACTAGGTTATAGAGGATGCCCCATCTGTGACATATGTACCCTATTGAGCCTGCCCAGCCCCAGAGTGAGACCCAGGCCCAGAGCTGCTTCTGAGCACAGTCAGATCACCTTAGCCAGAACCTGCTCCACCTGTGCTATGGGTATGTCTCCATGGGCTCCTGACTTTCCCAGAGGCCTTCTCCTGAGAAGTACCAAGGATCAGGACTGCTACCAAAAGTGGAGACACTAAGCCAGTCACTGGAGGCTCACTCCTGTAATCCTAGCTACTTGGAAGGCTGAGACCAGGAGGTCTGCAGTTCAGCAGATCAAGGCCAGCCCATGCAAATAGTTTGCCAGACCCCACCTCCAAAAAGTAACCAGAGCAAAATGGACTAGAAGTATAATGTCTCAAGTAGCAGAGTGCCTGTTTTGCAAGCATGAAGCCCTGAGTTCGAACACCAGTCCCACAAAAAAAAAAAAAGATAGTAGGAATAGGGTCTCAAATATTATCTTCAGTGTCCCCTGAGACACAGCAAGAGTGTCTGCTCTTACCACTCTGTTCAGCGTTTACTTGAGGTAAAAACCATTTCAGAAGTAAAAGGAATGGAAAGGCATTCAGACCAGAAGGGTAGAAATGATTACTCTTTGCAGATGACATGACTAGAAAATCCCAGAGGATTTACAAGAAAGTCATGAGAACTACTATGTGTGTTTATCAAGGTCTTCAGATATAAAGTCAATATACAAAAATCTATACTACCTGTAAACAGTTGGAAATTGAAATTTTAAAGAAAAGTACCATTTACAATAGCACCAAAAACATGAAATTCTTAATTATAAATCTTACAAAAATCTGTATACATTGTATATGCTACAAATACAAAACACTGAGGAAAGAAAGAAATCAAAGGCTTAAATAAAGGAAAGATACACCATGTTCAGGTATCAGAACATTGTTTGATATCAAACAAACCTCAACATTGTTTGTAGATCAGTTCTCCCTAAATTATCAATCCTGACCAAAATTCCAGGTGTTTTTTGTAGGCATTGACAGCTGATTATAAAACTTATGTGGAATGGAAGAGGAATTTGAATAGCCCAGTTTTTACAAAGTTATAGGATTCATAATACCTAATTTACAAGTTATGGTAGAGCCTAGGTAATCAAAACAGAGTGATAGTGATGAAAAAGTAGAAATAAAAGTTGATGGAACAAAATAGTCGCACACTACCTGGTAAAGTGATATTTGACAAGGATGCAAAAGTAATTCAATGGAGAAAGGATAGTCTTTTAATAAGTGGTGCTGGAATAGTTGCATATCCATATGCAGAAAAAGAAAAAGGAAAAATTTTAAATTATCCTTCACCAAAGAATGTATATGATGACCATGAAACACCTGAAAAGGTGCTCAAAATTGGTCATTAAGGAAATATGTTAAATCTACATGGGGTGCCTTATAGAGAGACTTAAATAATAACACTGATAGCACCAAGTACTGGAGTGGAGCAGCCAGAACTCTTAACATCCACCCCCTCCTGCACTGGTGCTCTGAGGCAGCCCTGGTATCATAAGGCCCTGAGAGTGGCTGATTGGGTGCCCAGCTGTTGTGAATAGTGGAGCCCACATTGAGGTCCAGGTCGCTGACCTTTGATCCCTGCTGACCTTCACCTACCATATCTGATAGAGATTTTGAAACTGTCACCATGTAACCAAGCTCAGCACTCATCACTGAGCTCTTCATGCACTGGCTGGGTGGCCATCTGGAGATGTATTGGAATGATTCAGGCACCAGATTAAGGGTCAGGCTGGTGGACTTCAGGGCACCCTTAGTTCCAACAGCATCTACCCCAGCAGGACGTATCTTCTGTCTGGGAGTCCAGGGCCCCATGGAGGAAACAGCCGTGTTATGGGTCCCCTAGAACCTCTGGACTGGCCTCTGAGTTCTGGGACAGGCTCTCTTCTTTGTACCTTATTGCAAGTGACACTTCTCCTGGTCCTCATCATGGAGGGCCAGTTGTCCATGTGAGTTTATTTTAGAACCAATTATGAATTAGTCACTTCAGGGAGACATTTTTCTTAGGCATTTCCCTGGAAAATCTGAGCTGGCCACCAATTAACAGACATCTCACCAGCCCCTTGGGCAGTGGACTTCTTCCCAGGGACAGGAATGAAATTTTTGCCAGTAGAAGTCAGAAGACTCCAGAAAAGCAGCTAATTAGTGAGAGGATGTATCTTTTTCACATGTCCACTTCGCAAGTGTTGTCAGGAACAAATACAGCTTTTAGGAGATGGTTCCTGACCCTATAGGAAGAGGGCAGGAGCCAGATCTGGCCATCTATGTTGTTACGGAGTGAATTGGGCTGGCAAGAGAGTGATTTGAAGGCTCTGGGAGTCAGTCGCTCACACGTAAGTCGTGAAGTGTCTCTTCGGGACTGGCCTTTGGGAACCTGCTTGCCTGGGGACGTCACCAGGTGTTCCTGAAACTCAGTAGGGTCCCTGCCTATACAGGGTCCCTCTTCGAGGAGCTGACAGGCTCCTCCTCCTCCTGAAGCCTGTCATTCCGAAGGTCTTTATCTTCAGTCTGTGGAGGCAGGTATGCCTGGGCCACTTGCTGGTCTCATCTGTGCTTTCATGTGAGTCTCCAGTGTTGTTCAAGTTAAGAGCAAGTAGACATGCCCGTCACAGTGTAGGCACTTAGCCAGTCCAAGCCCCCTTCCTTCTCACCTGGTACCACACATTTCTCCCACCATCAACAGCTCATAGCCAACACCAGAGACCTCAGTGCGCCGTGCAGCAGGACAGGACAGGGGTCCACCTCCATAATATTGACATATTAGACCAGACATTGAGTGGTGGGCACATTAGGATGTCAGCACCCCTTGCCTCTATACACTAAATTCCAGTAGCACCTCCTCCCCAAGTGTGACCACCAAAAGGATGGAGGGACAGAGGGGGCCAAGAAAGGCTGAGGAAGGTGCTACAACTTGGACCTGTTGTTTCTTGGCTCCCAGCCAAGCAGGAGGTTAGTTTCATGGCTTTTTCCCCTGATATTCATCCAGCAAAGAGGTAGAGCCAGTGCTACCCCAATCCTCCTCCACCTGTGTGGATGTGCACAGAGTAGCTGGGTGTGGAAGGGTATCTCTGCATTATCGTGTGTAGTGAAGGCTAGCACTGCAGTCTCAAGTGTTCTTCTGTGTAGATTTGCCCAGGGCTGGTGTGCGATTGGACTGTGTGTTCATTGCCATGGCTTGTGAAGGATTGAGGACTTGTTCACAGCTGCAATGGAGGCCCATTTATGAACGCTATTGAAGTTGACTGTCCTTTGTGAGCCTTGTCCTTGGCAGTTGTTAGAGGCTCCTGTATGCAGCAGCAGCTTTCGTCCTCCCCCAAGTCCCTCAGTGAAATATCATAAATCCGAGTCCCAGACTTACCTGTGCTGTTGCTTCTCCCCATGTGTCACCACACCTGTCCCAGTCTTTGGCATTTCTTCCTTTGGATGCTATGGCACCTCCTCATGGATTCCCTGACCTCCACGCCCCTTCCCTGCAGCCTGTCCTCACTACACCTACCTTTGGACCGAGCTCTGCAGGAGCACCGCTCCCACTCCCACTGCCCAGGGCTCCATCCAAAGAGACCCCGGCTTTCTGGGAAGGAGGCTGCCTGACCTCATCTTGGCTCCTTGCTGGTTCTGGAGCTCTAAACTTTAAAGAGCTGCAGGCCTCAGACAACAAGCGTCCTGGGAAGGCCTTCCCAACCCTGACCTGCCCTCCATCTTTCCCCTTGATCTTGCTTCCTTGTTTTGGGAACATAGGCATAACTGAAAATTATGTTCTAGGTCAAGTGTGTCTCACACCTGCATAAGTTCAGGGTGGCAGGGATGGCGCATCACGTCCTGTTGAACAAGGAGGGCATGGTGGGGCACAGCCTTGCCCCTGGGGAAGGACTTGTGGCTTCCACAGGAGTGTCACACCTCAGCTGCATCTGCACGCCCTGAACTGCTCATGCTTGATCTCCTAGAAATACCAGTCCCAGGACACAGTCTGCACTTCTTGTTCAATGACAGTTGGAGGGGTGTTTACACACAGCGACCATCTAATTCTCATAGCTTTCTAGAGGAAAATGCTGAGGTTCTCAGTGTGAATGAGCCAGGGTGGGGCCAGGCAGTGATAGTACCCCACAAATGGCTCCTCTGTGGAAACACTACTCCAGAAACATGTTCCCTTTTCTGCTTTCTGTGCTGTCACAGCACTCGACTTTGAGCTTTTTTTCGCCCTTTGTTCCTAAGAGGTTGTCAAGTACAGTGGTGTCCTCCATGCGAGCATCTCTTCCTGTGTGTTCCTGGAGATCGAACCCAGGGCCTCATGCATGCCAGCACTTGCACTACCACTGAGCCACACCAGCAGCCCTGCAAACTCCTTTTCCTATAGTGGCCAGTTTCCTTCCCCCTCCTCACAGATGGCAACAGCCTGTTCGACTCCATGGCCAGTGGGATGCGCCTGGTCGTCAGCTGCATCTCCTCCTTCCTCATCCTCTCACTGCTGCTTTTCATGGTACACCGACTGCGCCAGAGACGCCGGGAGCGCATTGAGTCTCTAATTGGAGCAAACTGTGAGTGTGCTGAACCCCAGCCCCCTCCAGGTCTACCCTATCCTGGGTTCTGTCCCTTCCAAGGTAGAGTCTGGGGTAAGATAAGGTGTAGCAGTTTCTTTGGTGAAAAAGTTAGGGAGGAAGGAGAGGCTGAGCCTGTCCCCACTAGTGGAAGTTGCAGGGGCCTCTGCCACATACCTGTTCCTGAGCTGAGCAAACCCTGGGGGAGGCAGAAACACAGGCAGGCATTTGAGGACCTATCCATGGGCTGAAAGTAGAGGCAAGCCTTCTGTCCTCTGAGCCTTAAAGCAGGAAGGACAACCCTGTTCATTCAGACAGTGATATCTCTTTTCAATGACCTGAGTTGTGAGTGTAGGCTACCTGCCAGGGGAGATGCCTCAAACAACAGTGGCCACACAAGGTGGCTGAATTCCTCAGCAGTGTATCAGGCCTGTCCAGAAGGCTCCTGTACAGTGTGAGGAGGGATGGGGGCAGGTGGTAACAGGTAAGAGTGACACTTGTGTGAGGAGCCACTGGTGCCTCTGATGGCACCTGGGCTGGGCTTGAAAGCCCCCTACTGTCACAGCCCTGGTTTCTCATCCATGACCCTCCTTCAGGCTCATGCAGCTCCAGGGTGGGAAGAACTCAAAGACCTTTGTGGGTTGGACATCTGGAAGAATGTTAGAGCTGGGGAGAATGTAGCAGTCCTAAAACTGGCGCTCGCAGTAAAGGGACAGGGCAGAGTAACAGGTTGCATGTGGGTGATGGGGTAAGGACACATTGGTGGAGGGAGCCAGGGACAGGCTCTTCTACCCAAGTTGGAGCTCTTGTGTGAAATGTGAGGTGTGTTTGACAAGTGGGAAACTGGTTATAGCAGTTTGGCGCTCAGGGATGGCAGGCTCAGTCTTAGGAGGGAGGCTCATGAGGCAGGCACTGTGCCTCCAAGTGACACAGCTCTGCTCCCATTTTTCACTATTGATGGCCCAGTGCACCACTTCAACCTTGGCCGGAGGATCCCTGGCTTTGACTACGGCCCAGATGGGTTTGGCACAGGCCTCACCCCACTGCATCTTTCTGATGACGGAGAAGGTGGGACTTTCCATTTCCACGACCCTCCACCTCCCTACACGGCTTACAAGTATCCAGATATCGACCAGCCTGATGACCCACCACCACCTTACGAGGCCTCCATCAATCCTGACAGTGTGTTCTACGACCCCGCAGGTACCTGCCCAGCCCAGGGAGAAGGAACATGGCATTGTCAAACCATTAGACATGCAGGGCCAAGACCACAGGTCTTCCTGAGCCCTAGAAGCCTGAGGACCTCTGTTTGTTTCTGGCCTCTCTCTGGTTTTCTTAGGACTACCTTTGCAGAAAGAGCTGGGTTACCCTCAGTATGTGGGACCCTCTCTTTCTTCACTCCCTCTTTTTTGTTTGTTTGTTTGTGGCACTGGGGTTTGAACTCAGTGCCTCACACTTATTAGGCAGGCACTCTTACTGCTTTCGCCACTCCACCAGCCCTTTTTTTGTGGTGGGTTTTTTCAAGATAGGATCTCTCAAGCTATTTGCCCAGGGCTATCTTCGAACCATGATCCTCCTGATCTTTGCCTCCTGAATAGCTAGGATTGTAGCTGTGAGCTACTGGCACCCAGCTCCTCCCTCACTCTTGTGAGCACCTGTTAGTAGCTGAGTACAGGCCCCCTCAGCCCAGCTCTTTTGAAACAGTCTGTAGTCAGGCAGTAGTAGTCATGGGACAGGAATAGCTGTGACCCAGATGTAGGAGCAAGTCACTTGGCTCTAAAGACACATATGCACATGTAGTAAGCTAAAGAGACTGCTGTCACTGTTCTGACAGTCCCTCGTCATGTCAGAAAGCAGCTCTGGGAGGTGGGCCAATTGCTTGAGTCTTTTTCCCATCTGATCCCGAAAGTTATTCCTCCTGGGACTGTGTAGCTGGGAAGTGCGTATCCTTCCCCTCATTGCCTCCCTGTCACTGCCCCGGCATGCAGCGCAGGTGTCCTGTCCCCGTTTCCTGTGTTGTCTATCCTCCAAAACACCCATGCCTGAATAACACTGCAGCCCTGCATGCCAGCAGAGTGGGCATCTGAGGCTGGCACTGCTGTTTTGTGCAGGGATGCAGGAAAGACTTGGATTTGACCCCTGCCCTCAGCAGATTATCACAGACTGTTGTCAGAGAGGCCAGGATAGGGGATAGGAAGGATAGCTTAGTGGTGGAGTACTTGCCTAGCATGTTCCAGGTTCCAAATTGCATTCCTATCACCACAAAAAAGGGAGAGCCTGGGTAGGATGAGCTTCCTGAAGGGGCTGCCACTGGGGGACAGCAGGTCCCAGACACCAACCTGGGCTGGGCCAGACTGCTAGACAGGGCCAGGGAAGAGATGCAACTCCAGGACCCCTTGCCACCAATTTTCAGGAGCAGTCCATAGTAATGGGCAGGCAAAATTTAGGAAGTTTGGATTGCCTCCTCCAAAGCTTCTCTTGGACCAGAACTTCCTGCCAAACCCCGTGTGCTTCTCAAGGCTGGCTGCTCCAATCCTGTCTCCCGTCCTCTCATTTTTCACAATCCTGTTGCAGCCCTGAGTGCTCTTCTGTTCTCCTGGGCCCAGTACCTCTCAGGATCACTTGCTCCCACCTTCCTGCTGAGCTGGTTCTGGCCCCTATTGAGTCTCTGGTGGTTTCTCTCTTGACTTTCATTTGTTCAAGTGATTGTCATTGCATCTTGTCCTCCATGAGGCAAGATGAAGCGATGTCTACTTTATTCACTCTGTGCCCTACACCTTGCATATACCAGATGCCAGCCATGAGGCAGCCAACCAAAGGGAGCAGCGGGCACAACAAGGCCCATGTGGGGAAGGCTCTCCCCCTAGACTCTGAGGTCCAGAGGTTCCCCCAGGACCTTCTCACTACCCAGCAGTGGTAGGAGTATTGAGGCAGGGATGTCCCCAGTCTGCCCAACCTCATTCCCTCGTTCCAGGCCCTCACTTGCCTCTGACACTTCTGTCTCTTGCAGATGACAATGCATTTGAGCCTGCAGAGGCCAGCCCGCCAATCCCAGGGGACGGAGGCATTGACGTTGCATTGCCCAGACACTTGGAGCAGTCTCTGCCTCCTGCGGAGGCCTCCTTGGCAGACCTTGAAGACTCTGCTGACAGCAGCAGTGCCCTGCTTGTGCCCTCTGATTCTAACCAGAGCGGGAGTGCCCCAGCTGCAGAGCCACCAACAGGGGGCAGCCTCCATAGCCGTGGCTCCCTCAATACAGTGGTATAGACAGCCCAGCCTGCAGCCCCAATGGGCTGGGAGCACCTGTTTGCTGTTGAGAAAACACCGATCCCTGTAGGAAACTTGAAGGGGCCTTGCCACAGCCTGGACCCACTCCACTGCTGCACACCCACCAGTGGGTGTGTGTGTGTACATAGAGACTACAGACAGCTTCCCTCTGAGAGTGAGCACCTGCACCAAGTTTCCTTGAGGGCTTCACAAACATGCATAGCTTTGGGTCACTATCTTTTTTTTAAATGGCATTTCAGAGGAAGGTAATGGAAGGCACTGGCTGTGCTCAAACCAAACACATCTTGGGTGGGCTTGCTCACTGCAGTGTGCCACCTTAAGAAGCTTTTTGGCCAGTCATCAACTAATCACTGAACCCCTGGGTGGATGGAGTTTGGGGCTGCTGCAGTGTCCCCATGGCAGCTGCTCAGAGGCAGCAGGGGTACCTGCAGACTGTCAGTGTTGACACAGAAGGTCTGCTTCTAGGGAGATGGCCTTGAGGGTGCTGCACCAGCTGCTCTGGGGATGACTCCTCCAGGTCCAGCTGTAAGCACTGAGGTCCCTGGAGCCCTGAGAAGGGGGCCTGGAAGGAGGTAGAACTCAGTGCCCTCTTTCTGGCTGGGTTTTGTGAAACCTGGCTCTTTGACAAGAGACCCGAACCTGCCCCTCCCATCTCCATGGCATTGCTCTGCATGGCTCGCCCAGGAGGAGGCTCTGGACCTCCGCTGATTGTTGGGCTGAGCCAGCTCCTGTCTGTCACACTGGAGCCCTGGGTCCTGCCTCCTGTTGAATGGCCCCTGGGCCTGGTCTGCTCCCACCCCCAACTTATTTGTGCCATAAGGATTGTTTCTTTATGAGGAGGGGTGGCTGAAACAAGCATCCTGGGCTGCACCCATCTCCTGAAAGTCCACTTCTTGCACCATCGCCACCACTGAAGCTCAGTGCCTGGTGGCTGCATGCACAACCCTCCAACCCTCCCCAGCACTGGGTACAGGAGGCCTTTTGCCTGCTCTGAGCAGTGGCCTTGTCTCCTGACATGGGCCTTTAGCATTTCTGAGGTTTGGAGATTAAGCGGGTTCTGTGCGATTTTTAGCACATCCATATCTTTTCTACCTTGAATGTCTGGATCTTTTCTTTTGTGTGTGTCCATGTGTGTCCGTATGTGGCCAAATGTTCGCAGGTGGTGGTTCACAGGACCTGGGATGGGGCCCCACTGTCTTGTGACAGCCATTTCATTGTGGGCTGTACTGAGACAGCAGAGTCCAAGCCTCTGCCCTTGGCATAATCAGTGGAGCTGTGACCCTTGTCCCACTAAAGGAATGAGAAGAGCAACTGAGGCTTGTGGTTGGTTCTGTGTGCCTTGCAGCAACAGACCTCTGTGGACAGCCAAGTTCTAGTCATGTTCTCACTCTGGTTGGAAACCCATTTTCTCCTTCCCACACAGAAGGAGAATCTTGAGTTTCCTACAAACCTGACCTGCATCCCAGAGCTGGCTGGGGGTGTGAACTTTCTCATTGAACAGCTTGACCTACAAGCACCAGATGCTGCAGGCCGCTATTTCCTTAGAATCACATGACCCCAAGAGCCTCACATCCACTGCCAGGAACAGAGCAGGAAGGACACTGTGCCTCTGGTGTGTGCTGGATGCTGGGCAGCCAGGCTCCAGAGCAGAATCAAGAATCTGATTGGTGCCAGGAGACTCAAAAGGGTCCTGAGGGCCACCCCAGGAGGGCTCCACAGAGCTCAGAAGGTCCCTCTAGGCCTCACAACCTGTGTACAGGGCAGGGCAGCAGGCACAAGGTGGGTGGGACTAGGAAGCGGCCTCTGGGGAGTAAAGGACTGTTGGGGCCAGTCAAGCATGTAGGAGGTGCTGAGGGATAGGGTGACTTGCTTCGAGACTAACCAGGGTTCTGTCCACTGTGCTCTCAGGTTGCCTGGTGACCTTCCCCTGGGGAGCATCAGGCCCCCCCCAGGATACTCAGACCAAGCACCATAGCCCTCTGGCCACCAGCTTCCTGAGGCCTGGCAGAAGGTCTGCAGGCAGGGCCATTTGGCTGTTAAAAAGGGAGTTGGGGTCTGCCCATCTGTGGTCACCCTGCCATACCATCTGCCACCCTCTGCAAGATCTGATTGATGAAAATTCCCGAGGCCAGCATTTGCAGAGACTTATGTGCTTGTGCCCCTTGCCTGCCCCATACACTGGGCCCCAGAGGGACAGGCCAAGCTTCTCGGAGGCCCTCTCTCCCTGATTGCCTTGTCACTGTTTCTGAGAGACCAGGTGCCCTCCGACCTGCCTTGTGGAGGTGAATTTAATACTGTACATTGTCTTAATGCCTGTTTTTACGTTTTCCTTTCACTAAGGGTTTTAGTTTGGGTGTATTTTTCTTAAGATGCTGTGAGAACCATTTCATCCAAATGCCAAATAAACTTGTGTTCTGGAAGAGGTGTGGTTAGTCCTTGGTGTGACCCTGCCCCATAGCTGCCACTGATTGTGGAGGGAGTGGCTCCGGCATGGCCTTTCAGCAAGACTCTCTTAGGATTTGCAACCCTTGCAGGTGTCCAACAGAGGCGACTTTCCTGGGTGACCTGGGGCTGAGCCGGTTGGAGGGGGAGGGCTTCAGCTTCCCCCAGACCCTTTGGTAGGGTAATCCTTGGAAAAGGGGCATCAATAGGAAGGAAATGGTAGTCCTGTAGTGGGGTTGCTGGTCACAGGCTTACAGTGAAGCAAAGGTCCTCCCATACCCCCGTCTTGTTCTCCCTCAAGTCCTGAGCGCTGGGATCCAAGGTGGCCTCACCCTTTGAACTGACCTTTTTGCTGGTGGCTTTGGCATGTCACTCCTAGTCCCCAACCCCCATTTCCTCTACTGTAAATGGGAATGACAATAGGACACACCCCCTCCTTGCAAGATGAAGGCCAGCCATTAGACTGACTTGTAGCCTATGTTGGTTTCCAGCCCTGGGATCGGGCGCCTGTCTAGTGAGTTCCCTTCCCTGGGGCCCTGCCTGAGTGCCACCCCCTTCGACCCTATCCGGGGCCCGCCCCATGATCCTACAGGACAGCCACGCCCCTAGCCCACCCCACTAATGAATATGTAGCAGCCTCACTTCAAGGTTCTTTGACACTTTCTTGTTCTCCCAAGCCACAGCCGCCAGCCACCTCCACACCATGTGGGTCCTGGGTTTCCTGCTCCCCTTCCTCCCAGTGCAGCTGGGGGTGCAGTCGATCTCAGAGGGTGAGCACTGCAACTCTGCCTATCCCATCTGGTCTCCAGTCTACCCAACCCTGTCCTCTCCACCACCCATTTGGTTCCACTGGTATGTGTGTGGGATGGGGTTTGTGGGGGGTAGGGAGAGTTTGGGAGGAGATACTTGAGGTTTCAGACAGGAGAGCAGGCTCTGAGCCAGACTCTCCTGGGCCAAGCCTGCTTCCTGTTCTTGGACCCTGGCTGGGATGGGACTTGAAGAGAGTCCATATAGCAGGTCTCTCAGCACTGTCCCCTGCCCACTGTCTGCAGGTGTCTGGTGCTACGACTCCCAGGACCCAAAGTGTGGTGAGAACAGAATTACATAAGGCTGTGTTGGATCCGTCTGTGACCTGGAGATAGTAGAGAGGTTTATTTAAACTTGGCCACCACACTTCCGTGGTCTCTGCAGTTTCCTTGTGTTCCTGTAACTAAATGACACACATCTGTGTGATTGTTTCTCTGTGTGTGTCTGTGTCAGCTGTAATTCCCCACTCCTGCTGGTATCTGCCTGTCACTGTGGAGGCCCACGTGCGTGCATGTAGTGGAGGTCCCAGTGTGGGTGTGCCAAATCCTCCACTCTTGTTTCTTGGTGGGGCAGTTGGCCTGCAAACTTGGTGGCTAGGTCAGATGCAGGTGAGGGGGGGAGCAGAGCCTGTAACTTGTCCAGTTGTGTGGAAGAACTTTCCCAAAGCTGCCTACTCTTTGGTGTGTGGGATCCACCCTCCCCTGTGCACCCCAAGGCTGCCTCCTTGACCACCCCTAGAGACCTCAGACCTTGTTTCCTCAGGCCCTACCTATTGGAAAGAGCTAGCCCCTGCCTGTGGGGGCCCAACCCAGTCTCCCATCAACATTGACCTTCACCTGGTCCAGCGGGATGCCACTCTAGGGCCCTTCATCTTTCAAGGCTACGACTCAGCACCTCCAGGCCCTTGGACCCTGGAAAATGACGGCCATACAGGTCAGCATCCTAGGACCAAGATCCCCACCCACCCCACCCCCCGCCAAACAGTAGCAGGAACTCAACAGCTTAAAGGAGCCCCCATGGGTACACAAGTGGCAGTTCACAGAAACAGGGATCAAGACACACACACACACACACACACACACACACACACACGAGCTGAGACTCCATACAGAGGTTAGGAACCACACAAACACAAGTCACTGATCTTCACAAATGGGCTAAAAAACTCTATGCAAGTATGGGATTCCCATAAGAATCAAAATACCCACAAAGCAGGAACATGCACAGTGGCCAACACACCTGTCCCCCATAGGTGTCAGGAGCCTCCCTACAAATAAAGACCAGCTACCACTCCTGAGGACCGAGTCAGGGCACACCCAGCAGTCAGGATCCCCTCAGCCCCCAAGATGCCTGGAGAACGCCCCACGACTACACAGCTGGAACAGGGCTGCCCTCCCTTGCCTAGCTAGTGGGCAGTTTCCACTGCAGGTGGTGATGAGTCCCAGGGAGAGGAAGAAACTGTCATGTGCTCCTCACCTTCAGTGCTACTCCGCATGGATGCTGGTCCACACAGCCACCTGGAGATTCAGGGAGCCGGTCTGCCCTTGCCTGCCTACCGACCCGTGCAGCTGCACTTCCACTGGGGGAGCCCCGGGCACCCAGGCTCCGAGCACAGCCTGGACAGGCAGCACCAGGCCATGGAGGTAGGCTCTGGCTATGGGTAGGGTGGCAGGAGTGGCCCATGGAGGTGAGGGAAGCAGGGAGAGGGAAGAGGGCATCTGAATGCCTTGTGAGGTCTGTGCCTCCCCAGATGCACATGGTCCACGTGAACACAAAGTACCAGAACATGGCGGAGGCACAATGTCACCCAGATGGCCTTGCAGTACTGGCTGTGCTGTTGGAGGTGAGGGAGGGGCTGTGTGACTCCAAAAAAGGGGTACAGTTTCCATAAAAGGATGTTGGGGAGCAGGGTGAAGGGAGCAGGGGAGTGTGTGGGTAGGGAGAAGTAGTTGTCAGTCTTCCACATACTCCCAGAGTTCTCACCTTTGGAGACCCCCACTCAGAGTCCCTGTCACTGGAATCCCCCTCTCCAGGAACAGGACCGTGACAACCTCAATTTCTCTGCCATTGTGTCGGACCTGAAAAATGTGTCTTCCCCTGGTGAGGAGTGGAGAGGTCACATTCGGGCTAGAGGTTGCCGGGGGTTGGAGGGCAACAGAGCACATGGAGAGAGGTTCCAGTCTCCTCTCCCCTCTCCTGACCAGGGGTCTCAGTGAATCTGACATCCACCTTTCCTCTGGCCTCGCTACTGCCCGGGGCCTCAGGGCTCTCACGCTACTATCGCTACTCTGGGTCACTGACCACCCCGGGCTGCGAACCTGTGGTGCTCTGGACGGTCTTTGAGAGCACCATACCCATCGGGCGTGAGCAGGTGAGGCCTCTGCCCCCACCCAGGGCCAGGCTGCCCTGCTTCCCTCAGCTTCAGCCCTTCAGCTCGTCCCCTCCCCATTTTAACTCATTTCCGCCTCACACCCTCAGGTAGCCCAGTTCCACACTGTGCCCCAGGCCAGGCTACCAGGTTTGCACACCGTGCCGCTCACCGATAATTTCCGCCCACAGCAGCCTCTTGGAGGGCGCAAGATCTCAGCATCACCAGGAGCCTCCATCAGCGCAGCAGCCCCACCCCACACCCCCACCCTGGGGGATTTGCATCAGGCTCTAACAGGCCTGGGGCTTAGCCTGTGGCTCTGGCAGGGTCCCTAGGAGCCAGGCGTGATGCCCCCTCCTACAATAAACAATACACCTACCGACCTCGGTCCAATGTGACTAGGGAGGAAGTGGGCTGGCACATAACCAAGAGACCCCTAAGAGATCCTCCTCCATCCCACCCCAGACCTTCTTCCAGAATCCCCAGACCCACCCCCCAGATCCCTCTCAGAGGGAGAAAGGGTCCCTCACCCCCAGCCTACACTTCACATCTCTGTGCCCTGGTCAGATGGGAAAAGAAAAGCCAGCACATCTTAAAATGCCACCTTTAGCACGAGATGACACATTTTATTTAAAAAGTGAGCTGGGTGACCAATTTAGGGATACTGTGCTCAGGTAAATGATAATCCTAGAGAAGTTCACCAGGCCAGGGGGTGAAATATTGTTCAGTTCCAGGCTTTGGTACTGGCTGGGCTGGGTTGCTGGATCCTGGTGACAGAGCTGGGTGGTGAAGTCCTACCCCTGTGACCTAAGGGAAGTTAGTTTGCAAAGTCTTGAGAGCAAGGTGACACTTTCTAGAAAGATGCTGGTGTCCAGGCAACCACGGGAAGGCTAAATGAAGGGGTAAAGTGTCCTTCTTGTCACTGAGACCTAGGGATACTGACTAGAGAGACTGGACAGGTGAGACTGTCCAGTGAGCGGGGTAAAGTGGGCTGCCAGTAAAGTGATGGTGGTTAATCAGGCCGCTGTCTGGTTAATGCCATGTGGGAACTGGATTTATGTATTGGGACAGCAGTTCCCTCAGTGACACTGTGTCTCAGCCACCCACTTGTCCATGGCATCTGTTGCATAGTGTGTGGATGACTTTTCCAGCGTAAGCAGGCCCTGCTTCCTCCCTAGGACCTTTAAAGAAAAAACAAACTGCTATCAGCAGCCCCAGGGACTTCAGCTGAAGACCCCCTGGACCTGCCTGCTGTCCTGCTGGCAGGACCCTGACCCTGATCTCCCCCCCCAAGACAAAAGGGGCTCTATCCGCTCTCTCAGGTCCAGACTTAAGTCTCTAGAAGTGATCACCCGATCACCCCAGTCTCCGATCCTGGGCAATTCCCAGTCTCTGTCGCCCACCCTCCAAATGCTGGAGCCTTGGCTGGTGTCGCCTAGGGGACTCATCTCATTTCGAACTGCGTCCATTTGCCCCCTCCAGGGGATACCAGAGCCCCGCCAGCTAGCGGCTCCTTCCACACCTCGTCCTGGGCGGCCCTCGGTGCGAACGCCCTCAATCTCCGCCACCTTGTGGGGCTCCTGGCGGCACCGGAGTTTTCTTGGGGTTCTTCCGGGCCGGGACTCGGTTCGCACCGCCGTCTGCAGGAGCATCAGGAATGTCGTCTGCGGGTCTCGAGGCTGCCATCAAAGCGTTGACGGTGCCTAGCGCCCTCAGCAGGGCGGGGCCTCGGGGCGCAGCGCGGGGAACCGCACGGGGCTCGCGGCGGGCGGGGGCGGCGGCGGCGGCGGCGGAGGCGGCAGCAGAGCGCGCAGCGCGTCCAGCTCGGCCCGCAGCTCCGCGCGCAGCGCCTCGAGCCCCGCACCCAGCTCGGCGCGCACGGCCGCCAGGCCCTCCTGCAGCCGCCGATCGCTCACCTCCAGGACGCCCGCGGGGTAGGTGGCCCCGCCACGCGGCTCCCCGCACACGGAGCACACCGAGCCGCTGCCACGCGCTTCCGTCCCCTCGCCGGGCCCCGCCGCCCCGGCCCCGCGCGCTCCACCAGCCGCAGCAGCTGCGGGGCCTCTGCCCGTGCCGCCGCCGCCGCCCGGAGCTGGCCCCGCAGGCGAGCCAGGCGGCCTGGGGCGCGGCCGTCTTCGGGGACAGCCCCGTTGGGCTGTGACCCGGCGGCCCGCCGGCGGCCCGCGCCTCGCCGCAGTGCCTCGCTGGCGCCGTACGCGCTGCGCGCCTGAGCCCACGAGCGCCCGGACTCCGCCGCCATCCACGCTGCCACCGCCACTACCACCACCACCAGCGCTGGGCCTGGCGCGGAGTCCCAGTCTGCAGCCTAGCGACCGCCCCGAGCGACGCCTTTATGGAGACGGCCCCTGGGATGGCTCTGGGAACGACCAAGGACCTCGGGGAATCCCGCCTGGGGCCTGGGAGGCTGGGGTTCCAGGGGGCCCTGGGAGGTCGGTGCCAAGCAGGCACGGGTGTGTGGGACTTGCCCATGGGGACACTGCTGTTGGTTGAGTCCCGGGTGGGTCCCCATATGAGGCTTGGACTGGCTTTCTGCAGAGGTGACAGGACATGGAGCAACAGCTGCAAATGCTGAGGCACTGCCAGCTCACATCCTCTACTGGAAGCTGCTGTCTTCATCGCAGTCGGGGGCGGGAGAGGGGATGGGACATGGTCATGGACCCCCACAGACCTCCTCAAAGGCTCAGGGCCACCTCCTCCATGGGGGGGATGGAATCCAGAATCTCCTGCGTACTAAGCAAGTCCGCTACTTCTAAACTACACGCCCAGCCCAGGCTACTTTTATGTCCTCACGGTGTCCCCTACTGTCTACACAGCTGCAGAATTTCATCTTTGTCCTTGGTACCTCCAAGCTCCTGCCCCTGCATTCGACCTCTTTAGAGTCTTCTTCGTTCTGGAAAGTGCCTCAGCCCTCACTAAAACTGCAGAAATCCCAGCCCATCTCACACTGTATCTGGCCACATCTTTTTTAACTTGTTCTAACTCAGTAACCTTTAGCCCTCTGGGCTTTTGCATAGGTAAATGGTTCCCACTCATCCCAGACGGGCAGAAAAACCTTCTTTGCCACCCGATCTCACAGCAGGTAACTGAAGCCCCTCTCCCCAGGACCCTTCACACCCTTTTTTGGGGAAGGGGAGTCTTGCTGTTCTTACCCAGAATGACTTCATACGCCTAGACTCCAGTGATCATCTCACCTCAGCCTCCCATGTAGGTGATTCCCCAGTGCTTGGCTCACAGCCAATTTTTTATTTTTTTATTTATTTGGTGGGACTTTTTTTTTTTTTTGTGGTACTGAAGTTTAAACTCAGGGCCTACACCTTGAACTACTCCACCAGCTCCCTTTTTGTGTGTCTGTGTGTGATGGCTTTTTTGTTTTGCTTTGTTTTCCGAGATAGGATCTCACAAAACTGTTTGCCCCAGATGGCTTCAAACAGTGATCTTCTTGATTTCTGCCTCCTGAGTAGCTAGGATTAGCCACCAGCACTCAGCAGGGCTGGGGTTTGAACTCGGGTCTTTCTTTCACGTTTGCAAAGCAGGCACTCTACCGCTTGAGCCACACTTCCAGTCCATTTTGCTTTGGTTGTTTTAGAAATGGGGGTCTCGTGAGCTATTTACCCAGACTGACCTCCAACTGCAATTCTCTTGATCTCAGCTTCCCAAGTAGCTAGGATTACAGGTGTGAGTCACCAGTACCTGGCCTCAAAGTCAATTTTTAAATGGCTTTTCCCCCAGGAGCCCCTGAACCCAAGGCTGGGTCACATTCTCCTGGATGCAATCTGCCCCAGGACCAGGTCCTAGGTGTTGAAATATGCTGATTGTTGGATGAAGGAGCACATGGATGAATGGGCGGGGCTGGTCTCACTTTTACAATAGAGAACTCAGGGGGGAGGAGCCAGGCTAGGCTCTTTCATCTGGTCTACCTCCTCAGCCTGGAATCGGGACTCATGGCTGTCCCTGCATCTCTTTTACCTTCTGTGCAGCTCTTCACCAGTGCACCCCTGTTCATTCCTGCCTTGGTGCCTTTGCACATGCCCCGCTGCCTGTGGGCCCCTCTACAGGGCAGCATCTCCCCATCAGGCATGTTGTTCTCCCTGCACCCCAGGGGCTAGTCAGGACTCTGGGTGGTCTGGGCCTTGGGGCCTCCCCTACCAAATTGTGAGAAGGGGGAGCCTGGATCCAGCAGGGCTGAAAGGGGAGACAGCAACCTTTGTCCCCAGGATGCACAGAAGCTGGCCTGTCTGCAGCTCTGTGCGGGTCTGCATGTGTGGAGACAAAGGAACGCTGTCCACCCTGTAGCCACTGTAGAGAGTCCCCATGTTCCCTCTAGTTCACTCATTCACGTGTTCATTCACTGAAGCCTGTCTCTCTGGAAGGTGCACGAGGGGAGGTAAGAATTTGGCACTCTGTCAACCTCTCAGAATCTCCCCCATTCCCGCTCAGTCACCTGCTCCCCCTGGGACTTCCAGCACCTGGCTTTGCTCGTCCCTAGAGCCTCGTTAACCACACTCCCACACCAACCCCAGTAATTCAAATGCTGCTTACTAAAAAAGCCTTGGATTCCCTCCCCAGGCCTACTGGAACAGGCTATGTGACCGAGGGTCTCTAAGCCAAGTACGCACCTGTGAAATGCAGGAGAACCCTAAGATCCCAGGGCGGGTGGCAAGGAGACTAAGAGGGAGGGGGAAGGTGCAGGGAAACTGCAGGCTTGCCAACCGGTTTTGCTGTGTCTGACTAAGGACAGGCTGGGGCAGGTAGAGGCTGAACCTTTGCAGCGAGCTCAGACTGGGGCTACAGATGTGGAGCCCAGGACATGTGCAGAGGATGGTGCAGGAAGGAGCAAGCGTAGAGTGGTAGGGAGTCCTGGGACCTCGATGATCCTCAGGTGGGCTGCCCAGGTGTTTGTAAGGGGTAAACAGGCACACGTATCACATGACCTTGAGCCCCCAAGCTCAAGTGCAATGAGGACCAAGAAGTAGGTGGAGGATTCCTGGCCCGGGTTTAATCGGATGCTGAGGTCTGGAGGTGCAGGATGGGGTGGAGAGAGAGATGGGCCTTGCCTAGGCTAGCTGGGCAGTGCAGAGGTGTAGCCCTGAAGAAGGGTAGGACAGGAGGCAGGGGCAGAGCTGAAGGGGTAGGGGGTGAGGAGGAAGAAAGCAGATCTGCCCTCTGCCCCAGTGCAGGGCCAGACTCTGTGGGGGTGGGGAGGTGGGCAGCAGGCAGTCCCCAACCTGGCCCCTGGCTCCATCTCTGTACATTCAGGCAGGACCTCCCTCTAGGTCAATGTGCTTTTTATTAACTCGCTAACAACGTGGAGGGG